TCATAAGAGGCCAACAAGAGTGACAGAGTGTGTCAGTGTGCTGAAGGAGTTGGGACCAGCTATCCAGACCAGACTCTAAAGACTTTCCAAGGGGTAAAAATGCTGCTGCTGGAGTACTGACTGGAAGTATTGCTGATATCATGTCTACCATCCTCTTAAAATACTCAGCAATATCAGTCTCAGGAAGAAAGGTGTTTTAACGCTTATTAAAAGAAAACATGCATTCTTGATCTCAGGAGGGGACATTGACAGAGGAGTACTGGAAAGGTACACAGTAGGCCTAAGTACTTCATAGTACTTGTGGGGGTAGTTTCACTAGTACTGAGTCCAACAGGATCAATCTCACGAAGAACTAATGGCAACAAAAAAGAATTCCCTCATCAAACTTAGCAGAAGTGGCTTGATTTTGTTCTCAGCAGGGGACTTTGACAGAGTATTCCTCAATAAATACACAATAAAAGTACTTCAATGTATTGTAAGTAGTAGGCTAACTAATACAAAGTCAAACAGTATCAACTTCATTAAGAACTAATTGTAAAATGATATTTGTATCATTCATCAAAGATAGCAGAAAAACATGCATTATGTACTAAGGAGGGGACTTTGACAGAGGATTACTCACAAAGTACACAGCAAAAGTACTTCATTTTATTTCTGGTAGAAGTCAAACTAGAACCGAGTCCAACAGTGTCAGTTTCCTTAAGAACTTGTGGTAACAAATATTTGTTTCACTCGTCAAATATAGCAGGAATAATTAAGAGAAGCTGATTTGAAAAAACAAACTCGAGAGACGGCTGAGTGACCGCAGTGCAGAACCGCTGTAGTATAGTTTAAATCTCCTAACACTGTTGTCCATTTTAGACAGGCTTATTATATTTACAGCCCTTAATAACATCAATTTTCTGGGCTCAATATGTGTCTTGGCCGTTTTTCGCTGTGATCGCTAAATTCCCCTGGTTTATAATAATCACCGTTCCTTCAGCAGGATACTGATTCAAGTGTGATTTTAGCAAACGAGTGCTTTTGTTTTGAAATCACTTCCGTGAGTTTCGCCCTGCCCCTCGCTCCAAGGACCATTAGACCATTTAGTAAGGTAAAAAGCAAAAAGGCCTCTCGAACGCTCTTCCGTTTACGTGTTTAATAAAGAAAAACAATTGGACGGTAGATACACGGATTGAGTTAAATCCGTGTATCTACCGTCCAATTGTTTTTCTTTATCATTTTCAATTTCAAACAATCCAGTGTCACGGAAGTACTTTAAAAATGTACTAGAGTATGATTAGTTAATCTGACGCTCCGATATTGTTAAAGTAAGGAAACCTGCCCATCGCTCATCGCTGACAGTTAGTGATCTGCCACTATGAATCATCTCTTTCATAGGTGGCAGAGCCTCATAGCCGAAAGGTTTTAGCACCTCCATCCTCCTCCTTTTACTCTTCCCATCATTCACCTCCTGTTTTGCGCATAACCTTCTCTCTGTCCAAATCCCCCACCCCTTCAGTGCCTCTCTTCACCTCCCTCCTCACTACAAAGCCGTCCACAGCTCTGTCAGCCAGGCCAGATAAAGTAATCCTGTTAACTTGGCTGTTAGAGGTCTCGGGCCTCTGCTCTGATCAGTGGGACATCTTATATCTCGCCTCCTCCCCTCCATTGCCCGTTTGCCGAGCAGCTCAAGATCAGCTGGGAAACGAAAGGCTCAGTGAGAGGGGAGAGAAGAAGCTTCTTCTTTTCTTTTTTTTTGCTTTTCATGCTCATTATCTGCCCGGGTTTGATTGACATTTCCTGAAGGCTTTCAATTCCCTAAACATTGAACAAAAATGACCTGGCCTCAGCAGGGATTATTGAGCACTTGAATACCGATGTGATCTACATGAAAGACAAATTGCATAAACCCTGTAGCCAAGACAGGTGAACACTTGCAGAGGCTAATTGTGGAAGTAGAAGAGTTTGAGATGTAAAGATATTTCTCTCAAAAGCAGGAGAAGAAAGAAACTCAACAAGAGGGTGGATAGATAACATCATGCAGAATAAACACCAACTCACGGCTCCACAGGGGGCGTTCTGGATGGTGACTGTGAACTTCCCTGAGTTGCGACTTTTGGCGAGGACATACTGACATGTTGCAGGGAAGGTGTAGATCCGCCCGTCAAAGGACTGAAAATACATATCGCCAGTCACCGAGCATTCGCCTGTAGAGAGAGAGAGACACTTTCAATGATTACCTTGGCCCTAAAATATCAAGTATCCGTGCTCGCTGCATGTCTCATTCCTGGCTGGGAATCCTCCTCCTTCCTTACTTTCTACCTAAAAAGCTCCTGTCTTCACACTTTCCTGGGATGTCACCTCCTTTATCTTTTCTCAATAAACAATACTTTCTTAACAGAAAATTATAGATAGCTTGGGCCAAAATTAGGGAGCTTTCTCCTTTTGTGTTACCTAACTAGGAGCCCTGGAGCTTTCTTGCCTTAATCTGCAAGTACTTTTTGTTCTCTTCAAAACTTAGGAGATAACTTCTTCCTTCTTAACTAACTAGGAAGCTTCTGCATTCAGATAAACTTTGTTATAAAACTCACAGGTGCAGCGTTGCTGTTCCTTAACTATTTCAGACGATTTTGGCATTGACCCATACCTACAAGAATTTCAAAATTGCGTCATTAACTAAGTTTGACATTTTCCTTGCCGTTTTCTTAAAAAATAGCCCTTCTACTTCCCTCTACTTTTATTTTCCTCCGGGTTCATACAAGCCATGATAGAAACAACAACAACACCCTCACTTGCTTGCTGTGAATACTCGGAAAATAATCAATTTGTACTCAGACATGGGCCGAATCGAACATTAGAAAAACGTGGTACTAGGGAGCTGGCAGGGTAAAGTCTGTTTGATGACTGGTCCGAATGATTCCGACATTGCGTTCTCAAACACAGCTCCAGTGGGTAATGTCAAAATACGTTGCTTTGGAACATAGGAGACATCGTTTTTAACATTTGCTATCACAGTATGTTCTTCTTACCAGTACCTTAAGTAATGTCTTTCCAAATAAAAAAAAACAATCCACACCCATGAATGTGACCTGCAGCACAGTTTGAGCTCAAATTAAACCACCCACAGAGGGAAGGCACAAACCTGGGCAGCTGTAGTCGGTGCAGTTCCACACTCCACCAACGCATGTGCTGAAACAGAAAGCAGAGACTTCAACAGGTGGAACATGAAAGGCTGTACTAATCAGCAGGATCGCTGATAGAAACTGGACACACAGAGCCCAGGTGGTCAGATCTGAGAAGATTAAAAGGACTGCATAGAATATGCAGAACAATAACCTGCTTTTTGTTTTTGCTAATAGATGATGATGACATCTAATGTAACATAGTCTAACATGTGTTCATGTTTTGTCCAAAAACACATGAAGCTGGTTCTCCTCGCATACATTTTTGTGCAATAATAAGGACAGCGTTCCAACAGGTGAATCAAAGTTTTTATCCTGTTACTTTAAAACCGAAGTTAAACACTGCTCACCAGTTGTTGCACTCCTCCTGCAGCGTCTGTCCAGAAGGATAAAACATGCCGTGGTACTCGCAAGGACAGTCGGAAGGCGTTACACAGCCTCCATCTTCGAAGATCATACCTAGGAAAGGCAAAAGTGTAGACAGACATAGAGAAATTATCAAGCTTAATTTTACCCTAGAATAATTCATGAATTATTCATTTATGTCGAGGAAACGTGATTTATTTTAAGGTTGGAAGACACGACAGAAACAGTAATAAAAGGTGTATTTGCAGCATCTACGAGATACGACAGATAATAGACTCTGATTTGAAAATCACCATCAGGACAGTAGCATCCATCCAGGCAGGCCAGTTTGCTGTCGATGCATGTCCGCTCCAGGTTGCAGGACGCTGGGCAGCAGCTAATGCATTCCCTGTACTGCAGACCAAGGGCACACTGCTTTGCTGGTCGCAAAAAATTAAACACAACACGGATGTCATACACTTTCTACTGAAAAGACAGGGAATATAATTATATGACCGAAAGTTGACACCTGTTGTGCCTAGAGATATCATGTCTGCCACAAGTGACGTTGTAGTAGCCTACCTATATCTATTGACAAATATAGCTAATTCATAATAAATCCAGTTTATCTGTTGGCTTGATTAAAAGTAAGACAAATTTGTTTCTGGTATGCAACGTGAAATTCACAAACCTTTCTGTCGTTTGCAAACTTGCAAAAACTAGAACAATTATCTGGTTCAGTTAACCTTAGCAACAATAGGCTAGCGGTTTCGCTAGAGAGCTGATACAAAAATACAATTTTTGTGAGTTTTCAGTTACTACTAAAGATATTGAAACAAAACATTGACATAACATATCATAATATTTTCACAACTGTAAGTTAACTCTACAGCAGCTAACCTTAGCCACATTAAGCTAACGGTTCTTAAGCTAACGTGTCTTGGGAGGCTATGGCAGTAGCCTACATGTGTTTGATAGATGCAAATAATTGTAGTGGGTCATTTGATTATAAATTGTCCTGTGCCTATAGCAGTCAGTTCAACTTTAAAATTTGTAAACTAAGTACGTTTGTACACTGTATTCTAATATAATAATCTTAATACAACTGAGTTCCCTTATCTCCACAACACAACACCCACCACCAGAATTACACTGTGTTCACAAAAGGCAAATAAAAAATACATTTTCAAGTATTTATGATTTCAATATCTGTGTCAACCTTTCAGGAATACAATATGAAGGTCCAACCCAGTCTCACGGCATTTCGTGTTCACCAACACGATTTTTAATCTATTGATTCGTGTTCACCAACACGATTTTCCCCTTTTTTTCGTGTTGCACAGCACGATTTTAAAAGCAATGTATTTCTATTGGTAGTCTCACGACATTACGTGTTATAGGAAGACCGGCAGCTGTGTGGTTCATAAAAGCATGTTCTTACTCAATATCAAGCCACAATCATTGCTTTTATTTTAAATCGTATAATTTCGGACTTTTGTTGCCGTCTGTGAGGAAAATAAATGGGGCTGAGAGCCTCAGGATACTGAAATCTGTATATATGTAAATCTTTTTTTCCTTCTAATTTGTTATTCTTTTCAAAATAACACACTGTTATTTACAAACCAATAACACACAATTATCCTTGTTTTTATTTATTTGTTTAATTCCATAATCTCTGGTTTTTTTGGCGTCCGTCAGGAACTGAATTTCAAAATAAAAATAACCGGAAACAGATGTACGCATTTCGAGTTCAGGATGGCCGAAGACACTACACTACCCATAATACCCAGCTATCGTTTAGGACTACAGTCCCCGTGATTAATCTTCAAGCTCTGGGATTGGATGTTGGAATGGCAGTGCGCCAAGGTTACGCCGAGCGTCAAACAGCTGTTTGAAATGGAACGAAACCACGCCAGACTATCCAAAACTGGAATCGAACGCCCCCCCAGGACTACACATGCTATGGCTATTGTGTTTCGCAAAATGTTCTATGGGACGTCTCTACTGAACGTTTTCGTTTTTACCACAATTAGAAGTTGTCAGTATTAAACACATTGGTGTTATCAAATGTAAAACATATAATTAATAAATGGGTGAAAATCGCTTGTGTCCATAATGCGCAGCATTAATATATACCCACATGACAGCTCATTGTTACTTTGTAATTCTACTCCACTACAATTCATAGGTTAACCTGGTATTTTTACTCCACTACATTTATTTGGAGTTACTTTGCAGATTCTGATTAATGAATGTGAAATTATAAAACAACCCTTTAAAGCAGACTTTAGTTACACCTGAGTAAAATTCCAGGAAGGTGATTTGTTCTAAGTTGCCAACAATCAAGGAGAGATTATTGATAGGTTTTGCGGTGGGCTCTGAGAAGTCTTAAACCATTTATCCCTGCCAATTGGGACATGCAATGGTTAAGGTAGTAATATTCCAATTATCGTTATTCTCTACTAATAGTTAAGTTAAAGAACTGTAATAGGCTAATTTAGCACATCCCTTTCCAAGAATTTCCAAAGATTTCAAAGGTTTATTGACATATCATAATACACATAACTGTGTTATGCAAATGAATGAAAATCTTGGGGTCA